ATAAAGATGCTTATCGAACTTAAACTTATCAAGGATGAGTTTGCTACTTTGGCACGTATAGAAGTAAGAAGTAAAGTATTAAATTATTAAAATAAATATTTTAATTTGTTTTTTTAATTAATATGAACTTAATTAATTCTATGTTTAATAAAAGTTGAGCTTACGAACGTAATATTTAACTATTATAATCACAGCTAGTTGATACTTAACTAGTATTGAGTTTGTGTTAACTAGGTACTAATTTAATAATAATTTAATAGTATTATATCCTATATTGGCTAATGTTTAAACATTTAACTAATGTATTTCTCTTAAAATTAATATTATTAATATAATAGTTTGGCAGGAAAGAATTACTATTTTAATTTCTTATACTATTCCAATGTTAAATATGAGTATTATAATGGTTAATTAATTAATATATTTGACTGTTTACTACTTAATTATACCCGTTTTTTGATTAGTAAGATCATATTTATATCAATTTAATATTATACCTAGAGCTGTTTTACTGTTTAACTTCCAATAAACAATAGAGACTATAGACACTTATATAATAAGAGTAGATAAGGGCACGAATGTTTAGATTTTTATAACTTTTAATACTTTGATTTGACCGTTATTTGTTACGTGTTAAAATCGCAATAGTTCACTTTATAATATAAAATAAAGTAGTAAAAGCTATCGGAAGAAAGGATAATAAAAAATGTTTATCCAAAGTTAGTTCTTCCGGAAGGTTTTTAATTCGTTTATTTATAGCCTATAAATTTTTTACGCCGTTTTCTCTACTCTTCAAACTACATTTTAGCATATTAAACAGTCTGAATATATTTCATAAATACTTTCTTTCATAAAAAAAGAAGAAATATTCTTAAAAGTTTACCTCGACTTCCACTTAAAAGTAATGTTTATGGTATAAACAGGATAAGAATTTCTAGCAGTAAGTAATGCTTATATAACAATTTAAATGACAAACCGTACAGAACCTCTTATCATACACATATTGCTATAAATATAATTATGCATACTCATTAATTCATTTACATTCAAGTAGCAAAACTACATTACTTATAATTAAATAATAGTTATGAACTTAAATGTTTGTTAAGCTTACTATACATAAGCACGCATAATTATATCTGTTATCTGTATAAAATTAAAAATGTATAAGTTTAAAATATATAACATGTTATTATTCAGTAGGACCACATCCTGTTTTAATAAAGAATAACCCGGAAATTAATTTTAAAGACTGAATTCCCAGTGTTGACTAGACATTATGAAGAGTGTCGCGCTTAGATGAATGACCCGAAAATTCAATCAGTAAGTTATACGTATGATAGAATATTAAAGATTCGATGATCTCTACCAAAATATAACGATGCCGGCAGTTGAGGTTATTACGCTGTGATGCATAATTCCATTGAGAGAGCTTTAGCTTTGATCTCGTGTTGAAACCTAGGGCTGTAAAAGTTTTAACGACCAATTGAGTGGTATGGGAAATAGTATGTATCATACGCGATAACATGTTGGTACCACCTACTGATAAGGCGCCTGCTGATATGAAAATTGATGTGATTCATCATCAACATTGTCATTCTTAATATTAATATAGTAAAAAAAAAGTCTATCAAAATAATATCTGTTTGTTATACAATTATACAATTTTAGATATTCTTCTTTCATCAATTGATAAACACGAGTGTCGGATGTCAAACGTCTGATTGTAACCCAGTCGCCCTTTTCAACATATAAAAAAAACTGTTTAAAAAATGAAAAGGTCTTATATGTAAAAAAAATTCTTATAATTCTTAATGTATAAATGATTAAATTTTCATTCGAAATGTTTTCGTTTGCTTCAACTTTCAACTTAGCACAAGCGATTCCTCTTCAAAAACGATTATCTAAATTGCTATATGTCAAACGATATATTTTATAGTAATATATATTTATTATTTCTTTAAAATGTAAGGGAAAATATATTTTTCGAAAGATTTAAAATGTTAGATTTTTTCATTCAAATCTACAAATACTACAAAATTGAAACTTGCTTCGGATGTAAACAAGAAAATAGCTAATATCAGAAAATATTTGAAATTATATTTTAAACATAAAATTATTCCTAAAAAAAGAAAGAAAAAATATTTTAAAGTATACTAAACATTTTTCTAAATGGAAAAAAAATATTATATATATTTAAATCTAGAATATCAAATTTTCGGAAATATTAAAATTCCCAGTTATGTCTATCGGAACGTAATTTGAAGCATGTAAAAATGCTTCAAATTCCATTCAACATTCATTTAAAAAATAAAAGAATTTATGAAAATACACATTTTGATTTAAAAAAAAATTAAGTTTAATATTTTAAGACTCAATAATACGATAAAATGTTTAAAACATAATTTAAAAATTAATCCACAGTAACAACTTCGTTTATCTTTTTTCTCCTCTTTCGCAGATGATATATTTTAATTAAGAAAATGTAAATGATTTAAACGTTATGTAGCGAAGAAATTAAATCATAAATTTATAAATAGACATAATAAATCAATAGTTAAAAATATCTACTTAATAATATAACAGTATTTTAATATATTTTCATAATTAATACAAGAACGTGTAATTTTGCGAGAGTATCATCATTCAACGAAGTTATTGGTTAGTCACAACACCTAATTAAAATCAGGAAAGGTTTTTAATGAAGTAGAGGAGTAAAACATATCATGTAATGTAGTTTATTACTTTAGGGTTTTATGTCATTTGATACCTTAGCTATATTCTTCTTCTAAGACATCGCTTAAAAGCTTTATGAAAGTTTATTACGTTAAACATTGAAATTAATGTTTATAATGCTGAGAAAATGATACTGATTATGAAAATTAAGCGAAAAATTTTTACATAATAATATAACAAAAATACATTCTTGAAAGTTTAGTTTCTGTTTAGAAAACTTAGACTTTCTTTTGTCATCAAGTATGTGTCAAACTAATTCTTTTTCTTTGTTGCTTGGGAACACTTCTGAGACAAACAAGTTGAGCGCAAATAACAAATCACTGTCCTACAAAGATATACCCGATTCTCGATCCATCAATTTATTTTTCTTTTTTTTTCGTCGTGAGTATTATTATATATATTTTTATAAAATTCACCATAAAATTAATAACGTCTGTGGAAATTTTTCTTCTTTTATATATATATACAGAGTAAAAAAGTCAAAACTAATAACAAACTTTCGCAAAATGTTTCTATATATATAAACAACGTACTGTATATATAGGAATCGAAATAGAGTATACAGGTAAGGCAAGAAACAAAATTAAATTTTTGTGCTGCGACAAGCTACAGAACAAAATTTCGAAAGCAGGATACTTCTATAAAGAGATAAGTTTGAAAACAGAAACGAGGAAAAAACAAAAAATAAAGATATTTTTTTTTATTTGCGCTTATGCTCTGTAACAATCTAAAAATTCAGAATCTATTGTCATCATCGGCTAAAAGTTGTTTTTATTTCTTCCCGTCGCTCGGAGACATTCCTAGAGCCAATCACCTACGGCTATAAAGTATATTTTTACTTTTTTTTTTCTATCCATCAGTCAAGTTATTTCATTGGTTTTGATATATTTTAGTGAGAGTCCAAGTGAAAATCTGATTCACTGCATGATTCGTGAAAGGAGGTAATACCATCAGCAAGGACGGCAACCTAAATTCATTAAGTGGAATTGAAGTTACCATAGCAAAACTTAGTTCCTTAGGGATATGGCTTCGGTTCTTGTCAATCTTCTTCTTCACACAGCTATCACTGAGGCAACGTTTTGATTTCACAGGCGAACAACTTGGAAGGTTTCAATAAATTATTCATCCAATTTTCACGAATTTGGTCTGTACAGAGTCAACTTATCTAAGTGAGATACTGATAAAACATCAACAGAAAAAAAAGGGAGTGAAGAATGATGCCTTCTTTTCTTTACGTGAATTTTACTTTGTAGCAAATTATTAAAATAAACTTTAATACATTCTTCCGAGATAATTATAAGCCTAAGGACAAAATTAATTAATCTATGTCAAAATTAGTGCTGTTAAATGACAATAGAAAAATATAATTTTGCTTTTTTCCCTCCTTTCCGTCATATTTTAAGTTGTTGTTGCACAATTCTCTCCAAACATTCTGTTGGAATTTTAAAATATTTTAAATTTTATGCTAATACAAAAGCCGCTAACATTACTTTAACAATATAGAAAATGTGTTATATTAATAATTCAATTTTTGGAATTTCGAAATTTTACACTTCAGAAAATAATTCATGTGTAAAATATTAAATATGAAAATGTATAATAAATCGAATAAAAATGCAAATTAGCTAATATTTAATTTTTAAAAAATTATTTAACGTTATGTCATTGAACCCTTATAACATTTTTTCGTACTTTTGTATGTGTGTATATATATTTATCAGCTGTAATGCTTTTATTATTTTTCTATCCTAGTAAACACACACTATCTTAGCACGTAAACACAACATAAATATTTATACACGTTGTATTCTATTCAGGAGGGACATACAGTATGTTACTGTTGACAAATACTGTGAATGCACTTAAAGTGCGATAAGACAATTTACGAACCTCGTGACATCGACATGAGTCAATGTTTAGAAGACAATACCGAAAAGCAATGTTTTGATCAAGTGTTTTATGAGCCATGCAGCAAACCAAACGAGATAAGCTATCAGTAGCACGACACGTTATATAGTAAAGACCATCACTTCTGAAGTCATTTTGTTGTTGATTGTAAAGCGAATGTTATTGCTGTACCTGCAAGTTCCGATACACATACGAGAGGCGCGTGTTGACTAAAGATATATCCCCATCATAAACAATTTTTCGATTTACAAAAATTAAATTACACTAAAATTAAATCTTCTATACATTTAAATTAAACAATAAAAATTAAGAGTAAGTTTTATGTAAAGAAAAAAAATAATAATATTTTTTTTCACCTGCTTTGACGTGTACATCTCTACTCCTGATGACACCTACGATGTTTGACAGCAGACATCTGTAGACGGTTGCATGAGTATCCTGTCGATACTGGCTCGCTTGGAATGGAAAAAAGACAAGAGTACCATCGTGTCTAAGTTGACGTAAGCCTGCAACACTAATAGCTGGGCTTCCATCGTATCGATACCACGATACTGTTGGCTGAGGAGTACCTTGTCCCGAACATGATATAACAGAACCAGTTGTATTGGAGAACAAGACATGTTCGGGAGGTTCGTGGATGAATGAAGGACCGTGCATCTGTTTTTTGCTAACATCTGTAAGAGAAACAACATCATTCACTAACATCATCTTGTTGCTCCTTAAAGGAAATTAATCTTCCAAACTTGATTAACCTTATTATGAATAGATTTAACGTTGTAGAATGTACTTTTATTGCTCTGTTTTATTTTAGTCTTTCTCTGAGTCATTATAAAAAAGTGTACTTAATTGGTTATAAAGTTAGGAGTAAGATAGGTGATACCCGTTATGATTTTTCCTCCTTTCTAGTAGATTGCATTACCAAAATATTAAAGGTCGTTGAATCGAAAAAAAAATAATAAAAAGAAAACTTTTTTACGAACTTCCAACGTTATATTTACTACCCTTCAGATATTAAAGTAGAATTTTATATTATAAAAAGGATAGAATATCCAATAGCTTTATTCTAAAATATTATATTATAAATCTTAAAATTATTCCGTATAATAAGACAGCTCGTGTATTGTATTTTTAGATATTAAATTTTACTGTGCAAAGTAGAAATTGTTGTTGTTGTTGCTAGTTGCACACGAATTTCCTCTTAAAACGGGTAAAATTGGACGCGTTAATGCGAGTTGTAACCAATTACGCATCGAGTTAAAACTTAATACAAGCCATTAATTATAAATAAATATTATGTAACTGCCATTCATCATATAATTTATAATAAGATAAAGCAAATTTATTAATGAATAATACCACAAATTGATAAATTAAAGATTTTTTTCCTGTCATTAAAAATAATATTTATAATATTCGCTAAGCTAGTTGAATATTAGAATATTGAAAATAAATCTTTAAAAAAAATCTCATTCTATTCATTCTTTTCAGAGTTTTGCATTAATAAAATCGAATTGTATGGCTGCATTTTTGAATTTTTACTATTTAATGCACACAATTCTGGCTTTACGATGAGCGCTAACGATTGTGTGGCTTATGACAAAAGAAACCAATATTAAGACATGAAGACAAGAAAGGCGAGAAAATTCATTTATATAAAAATACAAAATTACGTACTCAATACTTTGCGGATTTACTTTAGCAATATTCCCAAGTCACTACTCCACCCAGAAAAACGAGAACTTTAGTAAGATACTCTATACTTAAGCACCATTTACAAACATAAATATCTATAATTTAAATATTTAAAAAAATGGTTTTTCCTTTAATTTAACACAAATTTTTCCTACATATTTTACATTTCATAAACGCGCTAAATTTTTCCACTTAAAAAAAGAAATAAAATAATAAAATTTTAAAGTCGATAAATTTATAAATTGTAAAAGAAAATATATATATATTATTGTTATTATAAACTAGAAAAAAATAATAAGAGACTCACTGGATAACACTGCGGTAGGAAAACATAGCAGAAGTAAAAAACTGCTGATATGGCCCATTGAACAGTGCATAACTTACTGTGAAGGAACACAATGACACCACTCTAATGTGCGACCGTACGCTTGGTTGTCGGTTAGCTATGTGTTCCATCTCGTTCAGTGTGGTTAACCATCCTGCAGTAGACGCATGCTCTGTACTTTTACTTCTCCACGTGTCAGTAGTGTTGCACTGTCGCCGATAAGATGACACCGAATGTCACATTTTGGTACTAGCTGGAGTACCAAGATGTCGATTTTAGTTAGCAGAGAAGATAAGTTGACACCCTGAAAAATGATTTGTGAATTGAGAAAATTGAACTGACTGATGGTAAAGTGTCAAAATATCTGATAGAAAAATAATAATAATAATAACTTTTTTGATAGAAATTCGATATATGGCTACAAATCTATTACAGAGTTGAGTATTTTGAAATTTTATATTAAGCTAATCGTGTGATTTTTATAATACTTTATAGTGCTAAGTAATTAAACTTTTATAAATTAATCGGATTTTTTTTTCTTTTATTAGATATATAATCTTGGAAAGTAACTAGATAATTTCAAATTAGTCGAGCAATAAATAACGCATTATACACTTAATAGAGGGTATAATCATATTTTCTCATTTAAACTGTAATCGATAGGTTGGGCGTAATTAGTAATGAAAATATCCCTGACAGTTTTTAGTTATTAAAAAAAAATACTACTTTGTAAGAGCTGGAAACAGATTTTCATTTTGTTTTTTTATTTTAAAAAATTAAACAAAAAAACGAAATTTATGTAGAATATTTTTACTCAAATTCAGCTTCGATCGAAACTTAACTACAACGATTCAAATGGGTTCGTGATCGATTATATTAAAGATTTTAAACATGCGAATATGAAAATAAGTTATTTTATTACATTAAGTTTTATTACATTATCTATAAAATGACCAAACTTATATTCTATATATTATAAATTTTGGGGATTTTATATACTGTGCAATTAATAATTTAAAGGAAATTTTACACCTCTAACAGGATCTTATAAGTATTTTAACCTACTAACAGGGTTATTTAAACTGGATTTAATCCGTTTCAAATCCCTTTATACCTGGTTTGATCTAAAATTTATACAGAGTTTTAATCAATAGAATTCTGTAGAATTTATTCCATAGTCTATCAGAATCTATAGTTTAATCAAGGTATAACCTATAATTTGAATAAAGAGAACCTGAAGTTCAAATATAGTCTAATTTATAGTTTAAATGGGACTTAATCTATATTTTAACAGAATATGATTAATCATTTAAATTGGGTCTAATCTGCAGTTTAAAGAGAATCTACAATCTGATTCAAACAGGTTCTCAGAATTATAGAATATAATTTGTAAATTTATACATTTCGAATAATGTATTTTGGGTTTTAACAAAGGTTTGAAAGGAAATTTTAACCTTAGGTATTTGAGCAGACACATAAACAGGCTAAACTGTGATTTACTTTAATTCAGATTTTAGCTTTTGTATCTTCAATATAAGAGTTTGAACAGAATATAAATAATAGTTATGCTCCATTAAATCGCATTTTTATAATCTAAAATTTAGACCGTAAGAGTATACAATTTAAATGTGCTTTGATCAATTATATTACAGAAATCGTAGATTCAATCGGAAAATTTAATCAGTTTGAGAAAAATTAGATTTCAAAAGAAATTTGCTTAATTTATAGGCTACTTATTCCATTTTCTAATTAAACTATAATCTATATTTTAAGTAGAATCTAATATTTTATTTTAAAATAAATATTATATGTAATTAACACAATTTTGTAAACAGATTTTATCTATATTTTAAACAAAATTTAAATTATATCTTCATCGTAAATTAACGTCTCTTCTCTGACTCCTCTATAGAATAAATTTGTTAAATAAATATATAATCAGTACATTTTTAACATAAAATGAATTTTTTAAAAAAATATATATATTATTTTAAGAGTAATCTCATTAAAAACTAAGTTTGTTTAGTTTTAAATTGCAATTTACATTCGAGTTAAGGATTTACTCAACGGGTTTCTATTGTGAAATATGATGCAGCATTGGCATTCCCTGGGGCGTAAATAAAAAACGATCTAAATGGACACGGTAACATAAATGTGCAAAAGTTGAAGTGGTCTCCACATTTCTAGTATCGGTTGCTAAGGCAACGCCCCCAGCTGAACCAGAACAAGGACGGAGCAACATTTCCTGACATCAAGACTCTGCTGTGTCACTCGCCTCATTGGCGATAATGTTGACTCCTTTGCCAAAACGGGCTAGTTTGTTATTGCACATGGTGTAGAAGGAAACTTCAAACTTGTGTTCGCGCCTCATTAAATTATTGACTGTTTCTACAGTAGACAATATTTTGTAAACACCTACTCATTTACCTGCAGGAATTACACAACAATTTAGTACATTTTTTCCATCTACCCAATGTCTCGTATTTTCTAATGGATTTTTCTTGATCTTATTGTACAAAAGTATATACGATTTTATGAATTTCTAGTAAATTATAGTTGCTGTTTTATTGCACATGAATTTCACATAAGTTGCACCAGTGTAGATGTATCGCATTGAGTATGTTAGGTATGTATAAAAGTTATTCATATATATTTCTTTGAATTGTGGTCGAGACTATAAAGTATAGTTTTATTTAAATTCTAGTATAATATAAAAATTATTAGCTGCTTCTGCAACAGTTTTATAACCAGTTTTTCAAAAAATAGTACGATCACATAGGGTTTTTATGTATTCCCATCATGAAAAGTTGCTGCAAAGAATAACTTTTTTTTTATATTCTTTTTTTACTTTAGTTTCAGTAATCAAAATGTATTATAAACTTACAATCTTAAGTAATTTATAAATTTTTATATGTATAATATTTAAAAAAGTAATCGATTCTTATAAAGTTTTTGGTAGATTAGGTGCTCTTAAAATGTAATTTAGGAATATTAAAGAATTTTCTTTTCGTTATCGAGTTTTACTTAATAAATGTTTAGCAAAGCTTGAAAATTTTTGTAATTATGAGATTTAATATTACATAAATAGGCTTTTAGTCTTTTAAAGATAGTTTCTTTAAGAAAGTTAATCCTATTTTTGGATTGTAATCCTCATATCATATATATCTTCTACTTTATTTATAGTTTTAACAACTTTCTAGCATTTACAGCCTTTATATCAATTACGATTTTTACAACCTTTATACAGCTCACCCTCTATACGACATTTACAAAGCTTATAACATTTCGGACACTTATGGACTTTTCATCAATTACTTTTATAATTTAGTGTCTATTTTACAATTTTTACAATATTTTTAATATTTAAAACGATCGTTTAAATTCTATATGCCATTTATCCTATAGAACTTAGCTTTTACGTGAAGTTCTTTGATTAATTTTAGCTCGAATGGAACCTCAAACAGTTCATTTTCTTATAATAAAGTTGGACTAAGACAAATCTACATCTGGCCGGGCACAAGATGACTATCGACATTGCTGTTCAATCATAGAGGTCTTGCCGACTGATTAATGGGTTTCGCAAGAAACATGAAAGAGAATTGGACCAAGAGGATTTCTCGAATGTAATTCTCACGGGATGAGAAGAGAACAAAACAAAAACCGTACAAGATCAGTTTGAGAAAACAGACTCTTGTAACATAGAACGACGAAAAAAAAAATTCACAGATAAAAATAAAAAAGAAAAAAGAGTGGACGACAGAGTTACTTTTCTTTTTTTCCTGTTTCCTTCTAAACTCTCCTATGAGATCCACAGTTAGGCCCTGGGGAGAAAGTTCATATTTGTCGATGGAATGGAAAAGGATAGAAAAGAAAACACGTTCTTTTAAAGCTGGATGTGTGTGATCGATATTGCTGTCTCTGGTAGATTCCATCAAATGTTTCGATCTTTGCTACAGAAGAGCCCTTCTTCGATTAAGACTTTTAACTTGACGCTATACCACATTCTACACTTGCATTAATGTTTAGGGTTTTGCTGAAATAAGATCTCTCTTTCTAGCAATTTTTTTCTTCTTCGTTTTCTTTTTCTATCAACTGTGTTTTGTTGGTATTTTCTCTAGAATATAAAAGACATTCTATAGTCGCAAACTTTCTTTTTTCTCGATCCTAAATTTTGTCCTCTCTAACATTATAGAATTTCTAAATAAAACGTTTTTACTTTTCTAAAGCTTTAAAAGATAAATCTAAGAAACGAAAAAAAGAAAAATTCAAACATTTTCTTATACAAATACATTGTATAAAATAACAAATATATAGAAAAAATTAAATTAAAATTTTGTTTACTGAAATTCGACTAGGGAATTCTCAACAAGTCGTAATTAATATATCGAAATTAGTTATTTTTAATACACAAAAAATATATACATAAAAAAGTTTTATTAATTAAAATTATATATAGGCTATATATATTTCTTTTTTTTGTTGATGTTTATAATTATATTTATAATATAAAAAAATAGTTTATTAGCCATTATTAATCAAAAATTTTGAATACAGTTCGAAAGATAAACAAGTAAAACACTAATAAAGTAAACATCTAATATTAAAACATTCTCCAAATCGATTTAATTAATCCCACAGTCGAACAAATTTAAGCCAATATACACAATATATGTTTATTCTTCCACTTAAGAAAATCTTTAGCTTTGCATTAAAATTTTGTCAACATTTAAATATTCTTGAAAGTACGAGTATAATTCTAAGAATTATACCGAAGTAATTGAAGCTTTGTTAAAACTCGAAAATATTTTAAATTAATTATACATACTTTAATATAATTTTCTACTAGAAAATATTCTAGATAAATATAAATTCTTTTTCTTTTTTTATTATTTTTTAAATGTTGTCTTTTAGAAATTCGTTAAGGATTTAAATTTATATTTTCTGTCTAAAAATTGCCATTCGTACTTTAAAAGTCTAGAAATGTTTCAATTTATTATTTCGGGTTTTTTTGGGACTTTAAATAATTTCAATATATTTTTAAAAAATTAAAAAAGTCGCTTATATTGGTCATGTTTTTTAAGATTAGGGAGTACTAGGGTGATATCACC